CGCAAACCGTACGAATGTCCTGCTGACGTGGTGATTCTTTTCGCATATCCTGAACGTGACACAGGAACATCTCGCACTTCTTGCGAATCAAGCGCCTCGCGCTCAAGGACGATATGAACTCGGGAGCCTTGGGGAACACCTCCCCGGAGAGTGATACGTCGCTACCGTCCTCGGCTCTCAGCCGTACGGTCCGACAACTGCAGTTGACCACTGCTCTATGCTCGGTGAGCCAATCCATACCATGGATAATGTCAAACTCCTTGTGTGGTAGCTCTATCAAATCTGCAGGGAATTGCTTCCCTTGCACGGACAACGGACACCTATGATAAATGTGATGAAGACGCATGCTATGTCCTAGCGGATTCGATACAACAGTAGGTATCTCAAGGTCACTTCTTAGTTGCCTGCAAATCGTCCAAGCTCTTCTCCGTCTTCACAATCAAATCATACGCCGCATTAAAATCTGTCGATGTGATCAGCGCGGCGTACGGCCTCATGTCTGGCCGTAGCTTCTTGACGAACTCATTCAAACGATCCTCCGGAGTGGAGACCAAACTCGTCGCATACTGGGACAGGTAGTCGAACTTCTGTCTCAGTTCAGGCAGTGACATCCCCTCCTGCTTAAGTGCAACGAACTCATCGCGCCTCTCCTCGCGGTACCGGGTGGGGACGTACTCCTTCGTGAAAGCTCGATCAAAGCGATCCCAGGTCCATGGCTTGGGCGTGTGTGGATCCTGGTCAATGCGCTTCCACTAATCATATGCTCCCTTCCGGAACATCTGTGACGCCAACTCCGAGCGATCAGCATCTGGGACTCTCAAATTCTTGAGTACTCGGTCCATCTGCTCAAGCCAATCCAATGCAATCTGGGGCTCCCCCATCTTGTCTCCTCGAAACTCTTCCGCTCCATTATCCTTCAATGTCTTGAAGGTAACGATGCGCGGCTGAGGCTGTGGTGGTGGCGGTGGCTGGAACATGGGCATAAGCTGCGCCATGTGCTGCATATAATGGGCCATCATGGCCGGGTGGCGGTGGTACAGCTGGTGGCTGTCCCGCTGGCTCAGGTTGATTCTGCTGTTGCCCTCCGTCACCCGGAGGCGTGAAACTCGAACCCTCGGTGTTCACCGTGTGCACGCTCACGTGCTCCGGCTCCGGAACGTACTGACCATGGGTCGATTCTTGACTTGTTCTAAAATAATAAGGAAATTCCCAAGTCAGATCTTAACATATAACAGATAAAGCTATAAATACTTATTACCTTCCCGGGGCAGAGGAGTTACGTGAGATGCAGATGCGGCTGAATTATTCATTGTATTTTATTTTGAAAGGGTCCAAAGACCGATTTTAAAACCAAATGCTCCGATACCAAAATGTAACACCCCAACC